AGCAACAGCAGCAACAGCAACAACAGCAACAGCAACAGCAACAGCAACAACTGCAACAGCAACAGCAACAACAACAACAACAGCAGCAACAGCAACAACAGCAACAGCAGCAGCAGCAACAGCAACAACAGCAGCAGGAAGAAAGAACAAGAGCAACAACAGCAACAACAACAACAACAACAACAGCAACAACAGCAACAGCAGCAACAGCAACAGCAACAAGAACAGCAACAGCAACCACAACCACAATTACATATTAGTTAAGATTCTAAGATTTTAAGGTTTTTTAAGTTTAAAGATCTTACGATTTTAAAATCTTAGGATTCTACTATTTTCAGTACTTGCAGGTTTGCAGTTTTTTAGACTTCAATAACTTCAGCTTATCAGATTTTAAGATTGTATTAGTTTATGGTTGTTCGATGTTAAGCGTTTAAGATTCAAAAATCGTTTGATGTACAGATTGTAAAAATTATAAGGTTTCAAGATTGTAAAGTTGTAAGGTGTTGTAAGACTTTGAGATTTCATCAACAAAGGGCGGCAGCATCTCCAGCATCCCCAGCATCATCTGGTAACTTCAAAGAGGCGTAGCCGGCTAGAGGGCGCAGGCCCAGAAAATACCTCCGGGCTAGGCCTGCGGCCCGATCGCGTCCGGTGGCCGGATTTAGAGAGCTGACGCCCAACAGCGGGCCAGCAGGCAACAAAGGAACAACAAAGACAAGGATGGAAGGAGGGAAGGAGGGAGAAGGGATGTCTGTGCAACGCCACGGCGGAACATGGACGGGGCTGGCTACCCCGGCTGCATAGAAGCAGCTAAAGGCCGGGAGGTCGTCGAAGAGGGAGGAAGGAGAGGAAGAGCATAGCTTGGAAGGACGCAGCGCGTAGCGCAGGCCCCGGAGGAGGGGGTGTGGGTGAGTGCCAAGTTCCCGTGTCGGCCCCATTGGTTTTGCATGTGTGGCATGTGGCATATTTATTGAACCTTGCCCTGGCTGCAGGTGACGTGTTTGGCCTGTGTATTGGACATTATCCTGGCTGCAGGTGACATGTTTGGCCTGTTCATTGAAGGCTGCAGGTGGCATGTTTGGGCTGCTTATTGAACACTGTCCTGGCTGCAGGTGGCGCGTTTGGCCTGTTTAGTGAACATTATCCTGGCTGCAGGTGGCATGTTTGGGCTGCTTATTCGGTGGCACGTTTGGCCTGTTTATTGAACGCTGGGCATGTTTGGCATGTTTATTGAACATTGTCCTGGCTGCAGGTGAAAGGTTTGGCCTCCTGGCTTGAGCCATCTTGGGCTCATGTTGGGGCCGCCTGGCAATTAGGTTGGGCCGCCTTGGAGTTATGTAGCTATGTTGGGGCTATGTTGGGCTGTGTTGGGGGCTATGTTGGGCCACTTGGGGCTATCTTGAGCCACCTTGGGGGCTATGTTGGGTTGTTGGGGCCATCTTGGCGCTATGTTGGGCCAGCTTTGAGGTTATGTTGCGGTTGGGGCTAGGTTGGGGCTATGTTGGGCCGCTTGGCCCATCTTGGGGCTATGTTGGAGCTATGTTGGGCTCGGGGCTAGGGAGATATGTTGGGCCCGGGGGTACCCCCCCAAAACGATGTTAAGCCATTTTGTCGCCAAACGCAAAAAACGTGGAAACACACACGATAACGCATGGTCTGAACGTGGTCGGCGGCAGGGGGCGGGGCCTACCGGCGAAGGGTCTTCGGCCGGGCTGGCCCGATTTACGTTGCTGAAGCACCACCGGCCGCGCCGGCAGCCTCAGTTTACTGCAATCTGTTCGAAGCACGGGGCAACTTGCGCGAGGCACGTTTGCGGAAGGAAGCAGGCCCATAAGCGTGTGGCAAAAAAACATCTACTAAGATGGCAGGTAGTGCACAGTAGTAACGCGCAGGCTGCGCAGACTTGAGCTCTCAAACCGCGGCACCGCCCGGTGACATCTAGCGATTGCACGGTGGCATGTGTATGTGTGTGTGCGCGTGTGCGTGCATCTGGACTGCCTCTGGCACTTGGTCGCTTCAGGCTCAATCTGCATGCAGAATGCCCGCGCCTCCAAAACATGCCAGTTGTAAGTACCTTTCCGTTTGCAACGTCACAACACACACTGACATCAACTCAACACACACACACACTCACTCACTCACTCACTCACTCACTAACTCACTCACTCACTCACTCACTCACTCACTCACTCACTCACTCACTCACTCACTCACTCACTCACTCACTCACTCACTCACTCACTCACTCACTCACTCACTCACTCACTCACTCACTCACTCACTCACTCACTCACTCACTCACTCACTCACTCACTCACTCACTCACTCACTCACTCACTCACTCACTCACTCACTCACTCACTCACTCACTCACTCACTCACTCACTCACTCACTCACTCACTCACTCACTCACTCACTCACTCACTCACTCGAGACACTTCGCTGTAGGCCAATGCAGGGTTTGGCGGGGGCCAGTGAAGCCTCACCAATAAGCAGGTTTCCGCAAACAACTTATGTTTTTCACGCTTTCCGAGGCCTTGCGCCCACGCGAAGTGTCAAAAACACACTGTTTTGCTCATGTCTTGAGCGAAAACCATGCCCAAAACCGAGCTTAGATGGGGATCAGTGGCAGGTTTCCACATTTTGCGCCTTTCCAGCCGTCAAAAACGTAGAAAAGCACAGTGTTTTCCAGTGTTTTCCAGTGTTTGCGCAAAACTGGGCCCAAGTTGGGGCCCATGCTCGGGGGACTCGGGGGTACCCCCAAGAGCCGAATTGTGTTTCTTGAACCTGCCGGCCCACTATGGGCTGATACATAAGGGGGAAAGAAGTCGGCGGCACAGGGGGGCACCCTCCCCAGCGGGTGGGAGGGATCTATACACAGCCTCTTCGCCCCCTTCGGGGGGCGCGGCTGGATTTACGTTGCTGACGCACCACCGGCCGCGCCGGCAGCCTCAGTTTACTGCAATCTGTTCGAAGCACGGGGCAACTTGCGCGAGGCACGTTTGCGGAAGGAAGCAGGCCCATAAGCGTGTGGCAAAAAACATCTACTAAGATGGCAGGTAGCGCACAGTAGTAACGTCACAACACACACTGACATCAACTCAACACACGCACACACACACTCGCTCACTCACTCACTCACTCACTCACTCACTCACTCACTCACTCACTCACTCACTCACTCACTCACTCACTCACTCACTCACTCACTCACTCACTCACTCACTCACTCACTCACTCACTCACTCACTCACTCACTCACTCACTCACTCACTCACTCACTCACTCACTCACTCACTCACTCACTCACTCACTCACTCACTCACTCACTCACTCACTCACTCTTATTTCGAGACACTTCGCTGTAGGCAATGCAATCTCCAAAGCCGGGTTTGGCGGGGGCCAGTGAAGCCTCACCAATAAGCAGGTTTCCGCAAACAACTTATGTTTTTCACGCTTTCCGAGGCCTTGCGCCCACGCGAAAGTGTCAAAAACACAGTGTTTTGCTCATGTCTTGAGCGAAAACCATGCCCAAAACCGAGCTTAGATGGGGATCAGTAGGGCCTCACTGTTAAGCAGGTTTCCACATTTTGCTCCTTTCCAGCCGTCAAAAACGTAGAAAAGCACAGTGTTTTCCAGTGTTTGCGCAAAACTGGGCCCAAGTTGGGGCCCATGCTCGGGGTACCCCCAAGAGCCAAATTGTGGGAGGGGTAAGGGGAGGGGTAAACCCCTCCCCAGCGGGTGGGAGGGATCTACACACAGTCCCTTCGCCCCCTTCGGGGGGCGCGGCCGGATTTAAGGGCTGCTGCCCTGTGCCGCCGTCCCCCGCTTGTTCACGAGGGACGTCGGTATGACAATTATGAATACGCAGTTTTGGTCGGGTTTAACGGCGAACTTAAAGCAAATATGAGTAATTAAGAAGATCACCACGACAATTATGCTTTTGATGATGCAAATCATTACCCAACATTAGGGATGCTGATAACTATTATTATGCATTCGCATTCTCGCCAGAAGTTATGTTGATAATTGTTACTTTGCATTTTTAGCATCACCAGCAGTTGTTCTGATAATTATGACGACACATTCCCTGCATGTCAAACAAGCTGCTGCAGGATGAATTTGCGTGACAACGAGCACCTTGTTGGATTACACAAGAAGTGCCCCCGGTGTGTGGAAACTCGGGCAGGAAAGCCATGTTGGGGACTTTGTCATCGCTTTGTCTTCGCGAGAAGTAAGCCGTTAGGAACACCTCGGGAGCAATCATGACTACGCATCCCCGCATCTCAAGCCAGGTCTAACGGCACACTTGAAACGTACATGAAAAAGAAGAACGCCGCGATAATGATGATGCGAATCATTATTCAACATCAGTCATGCTGACAATCATCGCTACGCATCCTCAGCACCCCCAGAAATCCTGATGATAATCGTCACTGCATGTTGTGTCGGGTCATGATGATGCTGATGTTGATGATTATGGTTATGATGATGATGATGATCCTGATGATAATCATCACTACGCATCCTCAGCATCACCAGCAGTTACCGTGACAGCATCCTGATGATAATTATCACTATGCATCTTGAAACGTAAATAAAAAAGAGCGACGATAATGATGATGATCCTGATGAGTCAAATCAGCACCCAACATCATGATGATAATCATCACTACGCATCCTCAGGATCAGCAGCAGTTATCATGAGAATCATGACTACGCATCCTCTGCATTTCAAGTCGGGTCTAATGGCACGCTCGAAACGTATACAAGAAGAGCGCTCCACTACGCATCCTCAGCATCACCAGCAGTTACCACAACAACATCTTGATGATAATCATCACTATGCTTCCCAGCATCAGAAGGTATCATGACAATCATGACTACGCATCCTCTGCATTTCAAGTCGGGTCTAACGGCACACTTGAAACGTATATGAAAAAAAGAGCGCCACGACAATGATGATGATCCTGATGATGCAAATCATCACCCAACATCAGTGATGCTGATAAACATCACTATGCATCCACTGATGATGATGATCCTGATGATAATAACCACTACGCATCCCCAGCATCGTCAGCAGTTACCGTGACGACATTCTGATGATAATCATCACTATAATCTGGATGCTGCGAAGCATCACCCAACATCAGTGGTCAGTGGTGATGATAATCATCACTAAGACAAGGACGAAGACAAACCCTCCCCATGCGCCTCCCCTTTGGAGAGAGTTGTCGGTGGAATTCATGGCGATGAAACGAGCCTGTGCGAGCCAAAGGGTGCTCATGAGTCATGGGCTGCGCCCCTTCCCGGATTCCCTTGCGTGATTTTTCCCAGACGGCGTGGTACTCAAACAGCCACTGTTTGTTGTTCAAGGCAGCCAAAGAGTCAACAATCTGTCCAGCAGTTTGATTTTGGGAAGACTCATTTCTTTTTGTTAAGGCCAACCCGACCCAATGGTGTATATACACATGGCCGTGGGTCAAAACCAATGGTACCGTTTTGGGTTAGGTGCACCACCCATTTCAATCTTTTTTAGTGGGGATTGGGATGTTCACTGGGGGTACGATTTGGATTTTGACCCACACCCATATTCTCAGGTGCAGCAATTTCCGCTGGGCATTTGTTTGCAGGTGCAGTTGATCCCTCTGGAGCAGCTGGGCAGGCCCCGCATCGATGCCGCTTGGATGTACTGGACCGCAGGATTGGGTCTATGGCTCCCCAAAGTCTCCGCGGGTGGGTTTGTTCCTCACTTTTTGGAGGAGGTTAGTTTTGTTCGGAATTCGGAATTCGGCTAAAAGAGGCGTCCCTTTGTTCATGGAAGTCCGCAGGTCTCCAGGGCTCTGGCCTTTTTGGATGCTTCTAAGCAACAACCAATTTGGGTACCAACTCTAACAGCCGAGTGGCACCGAGGTGGTGTGCAACTGCTCGGGTGTCTTCCGAGACTTGTTCATCAACCAGATGAACCTCCTGGACCGTGCCATCAAGGCTCGACTTCGCGCTGACTCACAACGTGTGTGTGTGTGTGTGTCTCTGTGTGTTTGCGCGCAGTACGTGTGTGTGTGTGTGTATCCACGCCTGGGGCCGGAAACGTGAGTCGCGTAGACCGGCCCGATCGATGCCAGGAAGCTGCGGAGGCGGATGAGCCTTTGGAGATGAACTTTGTGCGAAAGCACGCCATGGAGCAGGCGGGGCTTACGCTGGAGCCTTCCCTCTTGCCAACAGCTGTCACGCGGCGCGGTTCTCCAAATAGGAATCGGTCCTCTCAAACATTTGGTTTCCTTTGAATTCTAAGGGGGATTTCCCACTATGTTGAGAAAGACGCAGGTTTCCTTTTTCACTACCTTTTCGTCGAGGTCCCAAAAGTCGCCATTGTCGGCAGGGAACGAAGCCGGGCCCTTGGAGTTCTGGGGTGCTTTAAAGCCAAAAGTCATGTCATAGGACAAGAATGCAAAACTTCCATTTGCTTAAGAATATGTTGTTCTCCCTTCTTGGTTTTAAAGCTCATCGTGATCGACTATTTTTTGCTGTGCAACGGGCTGTACCTTATGTTCGGTTAGCAAAACGGGCGCCCTTTCTTCGACGCATCACCCCCACCGGCGGCAGCGTTGGCCTCAAGTGCTGAGATTCTTCGAGGCTCAGGATGGCCATGGGTTTGAATAGGAAGCCACCACCAAACTGGTTGACATAAATCCCAACGATGTCCAGCCAAGGACTTCCACTTGAAGTTGAGACACAAATGAGTTTTCAGACCCACCAAGCATGAGGGCACTCTCAAAGTTTGCGAGAGCAGGCATGCAAGTTGGGACCTGAAATGGCAGGTGCAGCGATTTCAGTGTCAGGAGTTCCCTTAGCTCAGCGCTCTCTGATCTTGGGTTTGATCTTCAATGCGTCCACATCATTGGTTTTATTGTCCCCGCCCAGGAAGCAAGCTTTGGCCTGTGTCACGTGGTCAACATTTGGTAGCGACTTTACATCAGTGCCTTTTGTTGCCTCCTTGTGTGTGCATATGTCTATATGTCCAGATTATATATGCATAGCTACATACATGTATTCTGCGTATGGGCGTCCTTTATTTGAGGCACCCGTTGGGGTGGTTTGAACGCGGACTCAAAGGAACACCAAGAACCCCAGTCGAGTTGGCCAGGCCGAGGAGTTGAACATCTCCTTGCGGCAGGCCTGGGATTTGGGCACCGGCTCGTTCTTGGCTCGTCCTTTGGTCACTGTCTTGGATGTCGAGTTGTTTTTTGTGTTTTGATATGTTTTGGTGTGTTTTGATATGTGTTGGTGTGTTTTGATGTGTTTGTCCTTGGTTTGTGTGGCCTGGTTTGATTGGCCTGTGTTGGTCGGTTGATTGTTCGGTCAGTTGCTGGAATTGCCTGGTTGCCATTTGTCCACATGTGCATCCTACATACCAACTCAACGTGTTCACCTCCGCTTGCAAGAAAACGGAACTCTTTGAGCCCTTCAGTTCAGGTTGGCAAAGCTCCATTTGATATGATCCCCGAAGCAGGCTCAAAATAAAGTAGGGGTTGGTCGGACCCGAAAATAAGTCATCTATTTTATTTTAGTCCAACCCCTTTTTTGATGCGAATTCATGTTGGCCTCTGTGAAAAACTCTCAAAGTAGGACTGAACTCATTTCAAATTAACATGAGGTAATCTGTGACTTCCCTAGGAAGTGCCGTTTTTTCAAGTCCATTCAAGGCCTGGGAACTGTTGGACTGCGGCAATTACATTTTGGACATGGCATTTTTTTGCAGTCTAACTATATTCAGTGTGGAGTTGGACCATGTTAACTTTAGGGGGGCCAGGTCGGTCAACAAGTCATTAAGCCTCTTCGCTTGTTTCCCACTTTACTTCCTCACCCTTGTGGAGGCTTCCTCTCGTATTTCTGCCATGCGTTTGAAAACCCATGTTTGGTGCGAAAGCCTCAGTTTTTGCTTTGGGCCCTACGTTTTTTTTTCTCGGGTATGACGATTATGCATTCCATGGGCTAGCCACATTGTGGCCCAAGATGCCTAAGAGTGCTTGAACTGCGTATCCGCGAAGCCAGCGAACATGCCAAAGTTGGTCCGGATCGCGGTCGGGAACAAGAAAGACGGGCTATTCTCGCAGGAAAAGATTGCAGCTGGCACTGTGGTTTGCCTGCAAGCCGACACACTTACCTTTGCTTTGATCAACCACAGCTGCCAGCCCAACAGCAATCTCAATGCTGATGGCGCTCCTGACGTGGCTATCGTGGCTGATTCTGACATCCTATTCTGCAGCATGTTCGGATTGTGTCTTTGATGTCATGATTCTTGATGAACCTCCCACTGGCCTGGTGCTCGGTGTGCTCAGAATGTGATTTTTGAAGTTGTACCTTCCGAGTTGAACCCCCCCCGACTTTATTTTGTGAGAAAAGCGGATATGCAAAATAAACATGAGTTGGACTCCCCTCGACTTTATTTTCAAAGGAAATAAAATAAAATACGTTTTATCCAACTCGGACTATTCAAACCAACACCCAACATGAGGTCAAAATAAATCGTGGTTTTTCAATTTTATTTGCTGGTAGGGTTGGACTATTTCATTTTATTTTCCAACAAGGTTGGACTGACCCTATTTTATCTGATAAAATGGGGGGGGATCCAACCCTGTTTGGAACCTCTAACGGGGATTGATATGCAGATCCGATGGTTGCTGCAAAGAGCCCTGCCACTTTAGGCGGCCACGCGGGTTTTCTCCAACGCAGCGGGATCCTACTCGGCGAACGTGGGTATCGCCATCGAGAATGGCGCAAAAGTGGACGAGGATCGTTGGGCATCTCCGGCCATGAGGCACAAAGTAGTTTTGAGCCCCCCGACCGTGTTTGGGTGCTATAAACAAAAAGGTGACATGGTCAAAAAACAGGGGGGAGGGGAGGGTCACTTGTTTGCTATTTCATACCCATGGTAGGTATCGTGCTTGGGGGGAACCGCAATTTCATGAATTCCGCCGCGCTTAGGGACCTCTAGATTTAGGACGGATGCAAAGGCTGATAAGCAAAGCAGCAGCACAAGCCATAGTAAATGTCATATGTCCTGCTGGGGAAATAACCACATTTTGACCGGGGCGCATCTACCGTCACGGCAGAATCAACAGTGCCGTGTTTACCAGTTTTGTTTGGGATTTCCAGTGAAGGCGTGGAAAGCAACTGAGGAACCAGAAGTCAAATAGTTTTCGGGCCTCAGCTCGCCTGATCAGAGACCATCTCCCATCGAGATTTCCCCGCAACTGGCAACACTCCGCAGCCTAAAATGTGTTGGTGGCCCGAAAAAGGAGTCTTTACAGGTCGACAGCATGTCGATGCATGTCGCCTTCATTGTGCCTGACATGCAAGCTTCAACCCAGGTCGGCCCGCTCAAGCCTATGGTTTCTATTGGCTATCACATGCGTGGTGGGTCCAATTCGGACCTGTTGCGTCTACTCAATCTTTTTTGGGGTTCTTCTTGAAACGAATCTTTGGAGCAACCTCCGAGAGCCGCGCAAAATTTGCACGGCTATGCAACCCAATACATTGTGGTGTTCCTTCCGTTTTCCGCTCAACCCACCAAAAGGGTTTTTTTCACACACACACACACACAAATACCCTCCCACCCACCCACCCACCCGCCCACCCACACACACACATATATATACACCCCCACACCCCACTCACCCACGCGCACATCTCAGATCCCTGCAGGACCAGCTCCAGGAGCAGTTCGTCACGCGCAAGGGCTTCGCCCTGAGCTCCGACGCGCCCGGGGAGCTGCAGGAGGCCTCCAGCCTCTTCAAGTCCGCCCTGCAGAAGGCGCCGTACTCGTACGCGGAGATCAGATTCGATGGGCCCTCCGAGTTGGGGGCGTGAACGGGTTTTTGGTTTGCGTCGGTTTTGGGAGGTGTGTTTGTTTTGTGGCACATGTCAAATGGAAGCCGGAAGGAAACCCAAAGAAACAGAACGCACGAACGAAGTGCCCAAAGGAGGTATCGCTTTTTGGTTAAGGGTTTGGCAACATCTTACATGCTTGCCCTTGACTACATGATGCTGGAGCAGATTCCAATGCCAAGTGCATGTTTGAGTATTGACCAAGAGGAGGACCCACAATCAAAGCCAGGATTAAAGGATAAAGGACTGCCAACTATTCGGTGCTGGAGCGTTTAGTGTTGGGAGTGGTGGTTGCAGGCTCCGGTTGGGGGACAATTGTTTGAACAACCAGCTGGTCCCCTTTAAAGGGAGACGAACTGGAGGTCATTTAGGTTTGCGGGAAGGGCTTAGATACACCACCAACGCCAAGGCTTCGATTTGGCTTCCCCCCGGTGTTTTTTTTGCGGCGAACTCATGTACGTACTCGCAAAAACAAGCAGGGCCAAAAATCCCGGCGGCCAGGTACCTGTTCGGGTGTTAAATTCCCTTTGCACCAACCTGGAAAAGGGGACCACGAAAAGGCACACCCAACTGTTGCATACAAACTAAGCCTCAGTTGTTCAGTAAAAAGCCAAGCCTCCCTTGTTCAGCGGAAAACAATATTTTCCTTGCTACCAACATTGACCATCTGAATGACTACTTCTACCACTGTAAAAGGATTTCTTTGGTGAATTTCAGTTGTCTAGTGGGGAAGCCACCAAACAACGAGTGTACTGGAACCGTTGTTTTGGGCGGCTTTAAGTGAAGCCGCCAAACTAGGGCAAAACAAGGGCAAAACAAATAGTTGACTGCTTTGATTTCTGGGAACCAGCCTCCAGTCTGGGCCCCCACTTCCATTGCTTAAGGCATCATGATGCGCTTGTTTCACCCCGAGAGAGGGTCGGGAAATCATGCGCCCAGACTGCTTCAAGTTACGAGAGTTTAAGCCGCTGATGTCTCATCCGCATTTAGAATATGCGGGGTCGCTTTGATAGCAAGTGGGTTTCCCAAAAAAGCCACGCACAAGGGTTGTTTTTTTTTTTTTTTTTTCTGGGGGGGTCTTCACCGGCCTCTGGATTGTAGCCTCTTGATTTTGAGGGTACCTTAGGGTTGGCAGCCACAAGGAACCTCGTCTGACAGCCCTAGCCATTCGGCCGCTAGGTGGACGTGACCTTCCAGAACCTGGACAGCAGCGAGATCTCTTTGACGGACGTGTCGCACTACTTCGACAACGACCCGACGAAGGTCGTGTCCAACCTGCGCAAGGTGCGGGAAGGGCAAATGTGGTTTCCTTGGTGGAAAACCATGGGTCTCTTGGTGGGGGATCCATGTTAATTGTAGGGCAGGGTGGCGAGGGGCAGGATAGAAGAGTTGCTGTTCAGCCGATCCTTTGGCTTGTTGCGTTCTGAGTGAAGCGCAGCAGGGCAACACGCAACACCGGAAGACCTTGGTGAATCAACTGTTCGGTTGATCCACGCGCTCATCTCAAGTCGAGAGGAAGGGGTTGTTCACCTCATTGAGACCCCCCACCAAATCCCCAAGTTGATCAAAGTTTTCAGCCCCAGGGCCGCTGATCGATGATTTAAATGTCCTTCTGAAGCGTTTCTGGGAGTCCATGAAGCCCCGATGCCTAAACTGTCCGAAGCGTGCTGAAACATTCTGAGAGACCACTAAATGGCATTTAGCAGGTAACCTCCAAAGAGGGCCATCATTTTGCCAACCCACATGAGGATTCTGAGATCACCCGTCACGCCCATTTGTGTCAGCAAGATCGTCATGGCAGTGGGTGGGTGCGGAGCTGCTGATGTCACTCCAATCAGAAGCCGCCCTGTGCTATTTGCTTTGACTTTTTCAGCAGGTGTTCGTGGGTGATGTTCAAGGCCCTGGTTTGAGTGGGTGGTTCGGAAGTTCGGCGGTGCATTTCCCCGCTTCGAACAACGAGTTCCGGGTCTGTTGGATGGGTAGGGCCAGCCAAGCCCTGAGGACGGCAAGAAGCCGGCGTCCCTGATCGCGGACACCACCACCGCCAACGCGCAGGTCCGATCGCTCTCTGCCCAGGCTGGGTCAGGCGGTCAGGGAGTCAGGAGGTCCATGGGCCGTATCTAAGGGTTCAAGGTGGGGAAAGGACACACCAACGCACTTTGTAGTTTGTATATTCCACTTTTGGGGAGGGGGACAGCCGCAAGCCTTGTTAGTGTCATTTGCCCGAGCAGACATACAAGGGTTGTGCACAAATACACACCTGTTTAGGCCCCACTGCAAGAAGCTCGAAACCCCAATCCGAGGTGCGCCTGGACAGCCGCACCAAGCTGCTGAACCCCAAGTTCTACGAGGCGAACCTCAAGGGCGGCTATGAGGCGCCTGCGCGCATGGGCTGCTGGTTCAACAACATCCCACGAATTGTTTGGGTTTCAGTCTTGCCATGGTTCAAAGAGATTCGTTGGAATTCCGAGCTGCACGCAACCATCCCAAGGCGGCATCGGTCCTGCGGTGCAGTCATCAACATACTCTTACAATGCTCTTACACGGGGCACGTGATGCACCCAGTACAAGGGGTGCATAGCAACGCAGAAAATAAAGACTGACAATGGCCCATGGGCGGGGGGGAACCGGAAGAGACTTGGAAAAACCCGAGTCCAGTTGCGTTGACTTCTGGGCGACTAGACAGAAAGACAACATAAATAATTCAGATATTGCTCGCGACGAATGTAGCCTTCTTTACAGTTAGGTTGTTACACTGAACTTCTTGGTCCTTCTTCTTTCTTTTAAAGGACCTCGAGATGGGTATCCTCAAAGACCATGCATACACGCCCATTGAACTCCACACATTAATAGATGGCGCCAAATGAACCGCCACTTTTGCACAGACTCACCCTGCCGCAGGGCCCACTGGTCGTTTCTTGTCAGGCTCAAGGTGTGGGTGTTCGCAGCCGATAGATTGGGATTTCGGGTCGAACGACTGGTTGGAGGCAGGTTTCACTGGATGTATGAATTCAGATGCCGGCCAAGCCTCGTAGACGCAGGATAGAAGACATTCATCATCCTGCGAGGTTCTATGGTCCTGAACTTTTGCCGCTGCCGTGGAAGTATAGACCACCAGAGCACAGCTTACTGCAAAAGCCACATTTCATGACATATAGATTTGCCGACTACGCTGTGTGGCCACGGTCCTCAACAAATGTCAGGACTGGGATGTTGGGCAATCGTTAAGATAAAAACATCTTGGGCTGGCTCCCCCGCCTCAGTTACTGACCAAGGCAACGCGTTTGATACATCCAGGTCCATCAAAGTCAAAGTGACATCTTTAAACTGACTCCCCCCCCCCTCAGGGGTGGGTTTTAGGGATACCACCCCCAGCAGTATGTTGTCGAGAATCCTTCAAACTGTTCATGTTAAGGCGCCCAATCCAATCCGTGCCAGGGCGTCCGAGAGATCTCGAAGCGTATGCGGTTCACCTTCGGCTGGAGTACCACTGCTGACGCGGCCGCCAGCCAAGCATGCCGCTTTAAACCCACGCCCAGCAAAGATCATAGGCAGCTCACGTGGCCCATGTATCCCAGAGAAACCTTAGCGAGCCTTTGTGAAGGCCCGATTTTGGGCCAAATTGAAGGGTGCAGGGTGGAAGAACGTTCAGGATCTCTTGTCGTTTGATTGCGCATGTCACGCGATCCAGCATGAGGGAAGCAACGTTTCTGGTGTGCCGCACGTGTTCTGAGCCTTGTTTCCTGACTATAATGTTTCTGACATGGCCAAAAATTGAGCAACCCATCAAGTATAAACATGAACACCCTGCACTGTACTGATTAATCCGGTGAATTTGCAACGGCGAATTTGCAACTGGCCCTTGGTGTGCCGGAGTGGCCCTCAGATCCCAGGGAAACACTTGCGGATTGTCCCCTGAATATGGACTTCTGTGTGGGGAATTGCCACTCGAGACGTTTTTCCTGGTTTTAATGACCATTACTCCTGGGTATACCACGGGCAGCCAGTTATGGGGAGAAAGCAGCAGGCAAAAGCCATTTGGTCTTGAAACTGCAGCGCTGACATTGAGAAGCTACCCCAGTCTTTCAGATTGAACAACACACATGTTCTATGTTTGAGCAGTGGTGAGGTTGATAACTTCGTGTACGAAGACTGCAACACGAGCCGGCCTCAGCTGCAAAGGGCGTCAATGTCAGAGGGGAACTCCCCCGATGTAACTCGTCCAACTGTGCAGCCCCGCCACTGCCGCCCCTTGTCAATCACCATGGATGACACGCCGTTGATGTTTGTCAGACAACTGTTGGTTCCAATGAACATCCAGAGCTTCTTGCGAATACTGTGTTTTGTTTTAACCGAACCACATCGGGACATTCTTTGATCCTTCCACAGCCACCAGCCACCGTTGTAGTGAATTGCAGCCTGTAAAACGGCCCGTCGCCAGTTGCCAGTCTGTTTTCTCGGCCGATCATTCTTCAAGTCCTCCAAACCCCGCGGCAATGAACATTGTTTTATTTTGCCACTCTGCCATCTGGGCCATCCAGCTCAGCTTTCTTGGACCTCTTTTGAGGGAGAGTCCAGAGTCCACAATTAGTTTTTCCGTGGACGACTGTTGCAAGTTGGACAATCACAAACTGTTGCACAAACGAAAGGTGCATTTCCTGAGTAGACTCATGACACTTCAAAGCGAGGTGCTTTCGCCAACAGAGCAACGGTCACCTTTCGGCTTCCGGCTCGAATCATGACTAGGTCCCCCAGTAGTGCCCTTTTACCCCTTTTTTTGTGGAGGGTTCCCCTGCTAAAATAGACGACAGAAAAAAAGGGTACCCTTATTCTAACCTCTCTACTGGAGGACCTAGATGACATCAACCAAGATGTGTTCTCTTCCTATGTTGAGCGTATCAGGGCATTTGATGGCCGAGAGCCAAGGACCTACATCCAGGATGAGGAGATCAAGAACAAGCCGGGCTCTCAGCACGTTTAAGGGCCCGGAGATTGCCGGACATGCAAGGAAATGGCTGCTTTTGGGTGTGGATCTCCTTCCCCTAAGTACTCCATGGATGGGTGAGACGTACTAAGAGAGGAGCCCTTCATACGTGGCTATGATTCTTGATGGGGAAGGAGCTTAAGAGTGGTTAGTGGACATGAACTTCATGCATGGAAGGGGGTTGCCCGCCAACTTTTCCCAGCAGATTGGGCTACCTGTATGGTAAACAGCCATGTGGGAGGGCCGCTAGCATGTTCAGCCAAAATGGTTTTGGACGGGTAAAGCACCTTTGGTTTTCATGATCTGGACATTGGAAGTGGAAGTAGAGGAACAAGGGCACCCAACTCCAGGTGAAGGGTGGGAACGCGGGGTTGTTTCGATAGACCCTGGTATCCCTCTACAGGGAACCAAAAGGATGTTGCTTCAGCCATACATGTTTTACCATGCTAAAACAAGGAGTAAGCACCCTATGAAACTGAGATCACCATACGATCAATGCGTTGGCCATGTCACATCTCGCAAGCAATGGATCATTGTCCAGATCATTTGCGGGGACATGACACAAGCAGACCCGCTGACCGCTGTGAATAACGCACCAAGAACACACATGGGTCATGAGCTGCTGGTTATGAGACTACTGTGCAAGCTGTGAGCCGACTTCCATTACTATGTTGGGCCTTCTGACAGCAAGCACGTGCGTGTGATATGTATATGATTATATTATGTTATTGTGTGTTTATGGCAACATAAGCAGCAGGACGAAAGAGTATTCGAAAGCAACGTGGCCACAGAATGAGATGAGGAATCCCAAGCATGGCGCTCAGCCAGAAGGGCAAGGTGGAAATGACAGTTCGAAATGGCCCCAGGGCCATCCGCAGCAGAGCTTGGGACATGTGGGCTCAGGTGTTTCGGGCTCTAAAAACAGAGAATCCGCAGAGAATTCTCACCTGCTTTGCGGTTTCAAGCCTCACCTCTCCATGGCTAATTGTTGCTGTGATCTTTCTTCCGAGCGAGAGGAAATGTTCACCTTGACAAAGGTTGGTTTTGCGTTCGGGTGTGAATACACAGAATTTCATATATATATATGCATATCTAAAGACACGCAGGAACAAGCACACACACACACATCACACTCATACACACAAGCACATCTTTTGGCGCCCTGCGCTTCCCTTGGCAGAAGATCTCGCTGCGTGTTCCCTTCAGGATGCTGGAGGCCAACCCGGATGCCCTCAGGGACATGGCCCGGACCTCAGACAAATTGTTTTACCCGTTCCATGTGACTGCTACTGGGTTGGATCCTTTAGACTTTAACTTTTTGGGAAAACAAGGGGCTTTCCACTAAACCCACAAAAAGTTAAACTTTTTGCAGGGGGGTCAACAGCAACCAAGGGAAAACCTTGTACTTGGCAGACAAATTTGAATCATGGCCCCTGAGCCGGGATTTTGGACCACGGAGCATGAGATTCTGACTGAAGGAACCATGACGATGGCCCACGTAAGGCGACTTGACAATGACTCACTTGTTAAGTGGCTTTGTTTCCCCTGTTGTTTGTGTTGTTTAGGTGTTCTCTCGATATCCCCCCTACGGCTATTTGGGCATGTGCGCTGCTCTTAAAGGGTTTCCGCTTCTTGGACCATTGATTGGTCTCAGACCCTTCTACTTGCGTCGGTGGAATCTGTGAAGCAAGGTAGAACGTCCAGCTGAATCTCAATTTTCCTTACTGGATAGTCCACGAAGAGGTGAAGAGGTGAAGATGTTTACTTGTGCATGCCTGCTCTTGTGGCAGGGTCTTCCTGCCTCGATAGCTTTCAAAAGGCGCAAAGTCTCCATGAGCCAGACCATTGGCAGTGGGAAGCGAAATGGACACTCATGTGAACGGAGATGCTCAGGGATCAGTTGACTCCCCAAGCATGGCATTGGCCGAGGCGTCTACAATTGTGCTTGCAGTTCCATGCGACAAATTCAGGAGAATCCAATGGCCACAGTCGGCTTCTCATGATTATTTCTCATGTTTTCCCCCAGGTCAAGCGGGAACACATGGAGAGTATGAAGGGTTGGTTTAACCAGGTGGCTTTGAATTTTCGTGGTGAACACTCTCCAATACGGTTGGCGGACATAACTCCCCGTGTGAATGATGTCCAACAAAGAGTCCAAAATCAACATGCAACACCCAAGAAGCTGCAATTTTGAAAGGAAGTCCTTTTAGGAACCCCCTTTTTCGCGGAAATTTCTTCCCTTTGCTTGCAGACAGACACCATGGCCAGTCAGCCAAAGGTGGAGACCTTCCTGGAAGCCAACGCCAAGGGCTACTGGGACACCTCCGAGGTCGGGAGCGTTGAGATGGATCCCAGGGAGTCTCAACCTCGAAAATTGAATGCCCACGGGTTGGATCTCCAATGGGTTGGAAGGTTGATGGTTTTCTTTCTTGCATTTTGCCAAGGGATGTTAGGACTTTGTTTTTTTTGCCAACTACTGGGTTTTACATTAAACCCAACCATTTTTTTTTAACTAAAAAAGGTTAAGCTTTTAGCAGGGGAGCAGAAAGCGAGCGAGTTTGGTCCTTTAAGTTTTATGTGGAGCATTGGCAGCTCTCACTGTGAACCTGCAAGAAAGTAAACTGGTCGGGCAAGGGAAAACGATGCCATATTTTTTAGAACCTTGGGTTGGTGTTTGAAATCCCTTACATGATCACTTGTGGGCCCTGGAGGTCTGGTGGGTTATGGTTTAGTGAGCCACAGTCAACACCGAAGGCGGGGGAAGTCCCAACCCGAAATTGGTGCAGACATCCGGCCTTTTATTTCCTTATATACATTGGTTTCGGTTCTTGCAGCAACCTCCAAGAATCATGGAAGCTGACAGGGTGTTTCAAGACGACTTTCCTGTTAGGGAACCTGCCTGTCCACTTCCACGATTGGACAGAGACCAGATGTTGATTGTGACTCTGCAACCAAGTTTGCTTGCCATGCCCTTCGTTCACACGGAGGCACCGGCGTCCGAGAGAAAACTAGGTTGTTCTTTTCGAACAAGCTGCATATGTTTGTTTATTGTTGCACCCTTCTTGAGGTTGTTGAAAGTTCAAGACCGAAGAAACAACACCATTCAACGCAAACATAGACAACCCGTGCATGTGAATTGGCAGACCCTATGTTTTGCCGCCGCAGGACAACCTTGAGAAGCTGAAGGAGGTGTACCAGGCAGGAAAACGGTGGCAACACGGCCACGTTAACCTCGGCCTCAGTGGGATTTCCCGTCCTCCTTTTTGTGGAGGGAATTCCTCCTAAAATCATTCACCGAAAAAAAGGTGGCACTTGTCGTTTTTCCCTTGACCACTGGCGGTCGACAGCGTGCCCCTCGTTTCGTTTCTGGCTCCATGATGAAGGTCCTCTACGTCGGGGTTTCCGTCTTCTTACTTTGGGAAGCACTGTAGTTTGCCCAGAAGCTATACAGTGGAGTAAGATATCATGGGAACATCGTACTTTGCCCTATACCAGCCAAAGCCTTTGGGAGGTGCCGTGTTTTGCAGTTTTTCGCCCGAGATCCTGGACTGCGAGGCATACATTTCTACCACCAGTTTACCACTGACGAGGGGCTGTACCTTGTATACTTGTAAACCTGATATATATATATATATATATATATAGAGATATCTCCAAATTGTTGTCTCTGGGTCCCTGTTTTTGCTGGTGGAGATAGCTGCTTTACTCTCTTGGTCCCCTTTTTCGTCCGCTTTGTTTTGGTTTTGTTCATGTTGAGAGGGTGACAGCGATGAATAACCATTTGTGGACACACCGGGGGCTGCGCATGTTTTATCAGCTGGGTATGTGTCAAAAGAGGGGGCCCAACAATAAAACAGCCTGAAAAGGCTACCCTCAAAATAGACACCCACTTGCTCACGCCTTTCAGAAGGGCGTTGCACTGGCTCGCCAGGAGTGCGAGGATCGCATTGAAGGTGTGGATTTTACAGCCTAAAGCGGCCTTCCACGTCCTGCGGTAATGTGCCCTGGCGGGGGATGTCAAGCCCGGGAGGGAGAACCCGAGAACCCCCCCGTGCAATTGGTCCCCTTTCAAGTCTGCCAGAAAATGGGTGCCGGTCCTCTCCCAAGGCTAGAGGACAGGGATGCGACCACTGGGCGTAATGCCAAGTCCCTCCGCGACGCGTCACCTTTTTGGACACCGAGCTTCACCAGGTAGTCATGAGGTTTGTCCCGGGGTCCACGCACCGTAGACACTGAGAAAACCTGGGAGGCGCTAAGCTGCGGTTAGGCCATGTTAGGCTCGTGCCAGGTTTAGGCAAACAGACCAGCCAGGGCGTGGTGTTTGTTGGCACTTGCTGTTTGGGACATCCGCTGCCGGCATTTGACCCCGCTGCCTGATTGTGGCATAAGTTATGGACTGGGTGTGAAAAGGCCACAGAGAATTTTGACTTTTTGTTTATTACTGTCCAAGCTTTGTCTTACGCTCATTTGACGTGATTGATATTCCAGGCTTTGCTGAAACTGCTGCCAGCACGATCCAGGTCTCTCCATGCCCCTGTTTGCTGAAGAACCCCCATAATGTTTGTTTCCGCGACAGGAAGCCGCTTGACGTTTTTTTGATTTGTCCAGACCCTTCTATTTTGAAGCCTAGGCCCTTGGGCCATTTCATAGCTCAGCAATTCCGGGTTGTTGATGGTGGCAGACCATTGGGATGGTGTGAGCGAGCTGTCAGTATTCAATAAGTTCTAGGGCTTAATTCTCGGTTTTGCTCAGTTCAATAAATGTTATTTTCCGAAAGCCATGCTGGGTTCTGGGTGTTGTGGTTTGCTGGAAATCAGGATCTCACTAAGAAGTCGCCCCGAGGCAAGTGACTCGGTTAACAACCTTAGAACCCCATGCCAACCGATCGATCTGAGGCATCCTCGTCGGCTCCTAGTTCGTTACTTCCTGCCAACGAGCGTCGCTTTGTAGCGGCTTCAGTGGAGCGCAAAGTGTCTCCCGTTATGTTTGATTAAGCCCAAACAGCCTGACATTTGGGAGGTGCGGACCTCCCAACTTCGGGGGCAAAAGCACGTGCCCCTGACTTTTTTTCGAATCTGCTCTGTCGTCCGGGGCGGTGCACCGTGCGACTCAGAGGACACGAAAAGGCGCTCGTGTTTTGGAACGTGAAGAAACCGGCCCAAGTATCAGTGAGGCGAATGTGGGAGGGGCATGAGGGCACTCACCAAGTTGTCTACAAATTCAGTGGACCTATCAACTTTTCCCTGTGTGCTTTAGGGTAGCTGCATGTTTGGGTCGCAGCAAATGTGCAGTGGAGGGCACCTTGACCTCCCAGCAAACACGTAAGCATGTTGTACAGATTGTTGTGCGCTTCTGTGTTTGTTTTTTGGAGTGTTCTCTGCACATGTCACATGGGCTCTGCGGGGGAGGCGCATGCACGAGGTAATTCAAGGGTGTCGCGCCGGAGGAGGTTCCTCTTGACATGCTTGGTTGTTTGGTTTTGGGGTCCGATGTGAATCTGCAGGGAAGCAATGAAGGGCCTTAACTATTACAAAAATGATTCCCTTATGATCATGACTGATGTTAATTTCAAAGTGCCCGACACCCCTATCCTATTTCTTGGGCCATCATACATTTGGCTGTGTCTTTTCGCCCCGTTTGGCTGGTAGCCACTTCTAACAATATCAGGGATCAAGCAATGACTAACCTTTCGAAGCTGTATGACTAAGATCAGTTCAAAAGTAGCTTAGTAGCTTCCCAAAAAACTAGAAGAAGAACAATATCCATGGTCATTGTCTAATTATATGCTGTCCTGCAATCAATACCCAAAAGGAGTTCCCGCTTGACAAGTATGGTTTTGTTTGGGTTCTGCGTCAATCTGCGGCATATTTAGCCATCCAATGCAAAAAACCTCCACTGGACGTTGTGAACGCCCTATTTTCAAGAGCACCCTTACTCACGGACACCCACACCACCAGGAATTCCTAGATATTGGCCCGGAACGAGCCAAAAACCAATCGAATGTCTGCAGAATCCGAGAAATCTTAGACTTCCGGTCGGTCCGTTTTCCGTTTTCCGAGGACCTGGCCGCTCTGCTGGAGGAGAAGGAGCTGCTCAGGGGTGGCCGCCGCGAGCATGGGGTTGACCTGGAGGCCGGGGCGGGAGCGTCCTCAAACCCAAGAAGAATAGCCCAGACAAGTGGTGCCCTTTTCCGACTTTGGAGGGGTCACGCTGTCCCTTCTTTTTGGTGCGGTCTTCCGCCCTGTTAACTGTTGAAAGGGCCACTTAACTACCAGGTTTTGACTGCGACTCAGGTTCTAGATTGGGAGCAACCCCTTTGCCTTGCTAGGCTTAAACTCGTACTTTTAATTGAACGCTGTTTTACCTTGGAGCTATCCCAACGTAAGGAATTTATTTCTGCCCGGCTGCAACCCAAACTCTGGGCTATTCTAAATTCTAAAGCCTCGGATTCGTGTTCGTGCCAGCTTATAAAATTATGTGTGTGTGTGATTATCTTTGTTTTGTGAGGGTACTCCTTTGTTTAAAGGGAAACCAAGGGGAACACCGCCATATGTTGGGACCCCAAACAACATTGTTTAGAAGGCCTGGAACTCTAGGAGACCCATGTTGATATATCAATGCGAGCCTGTGACAATGTTTTGCTACTTAGGGCGGGTGAAGATATGGGGCCCAAAGCACTTTGCTTATTGCCCTCACTTTGGTACCAAGCGAAGGAACACTACCACCCCAATTGCCTCATAAGGCTTTGGCTCGTGGCGCGCGTGAGAGGTTGGAGCTGGACTTTGCCAGTAGCCTAAAGTTTTATTGTGAGGCGCTTATCACAAACCGGTCCTTTTGACTTTTTTAGTGCCTCCCTCAAAAGTTTCAAGGTGCCGAAATGGGGTCCATGTTTCTGCTGGAATTATGTGGACACCTCGAGGCAAAGCCCTGGCCTGATGGTGAAGGCCCTGTACTGATGGATGCATCGCCCCGCGAAGATGGCTCCTGCGGAGACAACCCGGAAGATCAAGACCAACACGGGGCCAACTAATTTCTGACCTGTCGCTACGGTCATGCCTTAGTTTGCTTTCAAAGTACCCCAAACCTTCATTACTAGGTCTCCCAGTAGTGCCCTTTTACCTTTTTTTGGGGAGGGTTCCCCTACTAAAATAGACTACAGAAAAAAGGGTGCCCTTCTTCTAACCTCTCTACTGGAGGACCTAGATGATGATTGTTGAGCCCCTTGTATCACCTCCCGAGATGGCTCCCTCAGCCGTGCCTCAGATGGCGTTCTCCCGTGCCAGGTCCGCATGCAGGCGCTGCAAGACGCACAGTTCTCCTCCGTCAGAACCTCAGAACCCGGTCGAGTCGAGTGCCCTACACTCACTTGGGCTTGGGGGGGGGGGAAACCTGGTGTGTGTGTGTGTGTGGGTGTATGTTTTGGGAAGAAATGAATGTAGAAACACCCATTTTGCGTGTTTCGATCATGTTCTGGGACTTGTCCCAGGTGGATCCTCCCAAAAATGTTGCACCCCAACTGGCAGAGTTCATGTTCCCAAAGAAGCGTCAGACAAAAAGAAGGGTGGCCTACTTTTCCGAGAGTTGCTCGAAAGAAACGCGCCCGCTTGAACTGGATCATTTTGTAAGTTGCATCTTTACTTTCGGGACAGCTATGGTTGTCACAAAAAGAGGCACTTTGGATTACCTCGGGGTTGGGCAAGCCAGTTCAAAACAAAACGCATACAGGTGCAACAAATGGAGAGCGATTGAGTCGGAGTCGTCCTTTGAAATTCGGCCAGAAGAGAAGTCCATGCTTTAGCGCATTCGCATTTTACAAGGACTAGGTTTGGGCAAATAACAGGCCAATTTGCAACTGGCAGGGTTGACATTTAGCAGAGCCATGTCATGGTGGTTTGCATCCCGTGAGGTTATCCCAATTCCACCTGCGTTTGAATCCGGCAGCGAGCAACTCGAATAGACACGAAGGACAAAACGGACTGAGTCTCCTTCTCAAGAAAGGGACCCCAAGAAAATGGTTGGCTTCCTTTTGGTTTCCCTTCAAAACCATGGGGAAAAGGGGCTCCCTATTTGACAAATACAGGTCACACCTTGAAGCCACTGATCTGCCGATTTCCTGCACTGCGTGGACTAAGATCCTGCACACCGTGCGGGACAGGATCCTGAAGGCCTAAGAGGGGCGTTCCGGGGGCGGATGCTTTAGGGAAGAAAGGTGGTTGTCCGGCCTGTACACTGTTGGTTTTCCTTTGAAGCAAGCCCAAACAGAAAAGCACACAAACAGAACAGGCGCACACACCTACAAATTGCTGAAGACAACTGTCATTTGTTCTGCTTGATTTGGCACTCTTAGAGTTTTTTTCCATAGCTGCTCTCGCCACTCCAAAGTCACTTTGTGCGAAGGCCGCGCTGGAGTCCTGTCTTAGTTCTCTAGCCTGGAGTAGTCTCAGTTCGAAATCAACCGACTTATCTCGGGACTCGCTTGTTCAGTCGGCCAACCAGATCTTTGGATTCAGGTTGGGGCACTCGAAGATCAACCAGCATTCGGGATTCATGGCAGCCAAGTCAGGACTGCAAAAACATGTCACGACGTGCTTCGGGCCCTCGGGCCCGCTTCAGACCGGCCAATTGGATCGGAGTGATTGGCCTATAGGAAGTTGAGGCCCCCCGGTCATGGCAGCCCAAAAGGTGATCTTGTGCACCATTTTGCACCTTTTGGCTTTCGCCGGCGTTTGCCCTGCGGGTAAACCATGACTTCCCCGGGAGTGTTGCGCCACAAGAAAACCGCAGCTGCCCTCCCAGGCCTCTGAGCAACTGCAGAACCTCGCAGCGCTCCGAAAGGCGAGGGACCTGCGTTTTCATCGAAGCCCCTGCGCCACAAAAACAATTCTGCACATGGCTTTGTGGCGGGTAGCATGTCACGTTGGCTCCGTCATTGTCAGGCATGGGCGGGCCTATTGTTCCCACTTGCTTAAAAGGAACCGACCTAGATCCCTCCTGGGATCAACTATGCGATGGTTGTTGGTAGTCATGACAGCTTGAAGCTTAACCTATTTACTTTCCACTTTTTCGGGCAGGTGAGTCTTTGCCCAACTGTTGCCTGTTTGGTTAAGCCATGATTCACAAGCATTGACAGGCACAAAGATGATCGACTTGACAAGTTGGGGGCCCTTCACAAGGGTCAGATACGATTGGCATAAAACATACTTGTCCGAACACAAAAAGCGGGGAAGCACAAAACGTTTTCGGTGTTCGGTACATATGTTTTGGTTGTCGATAGTCGCTGGAACTAGAATAGCAGTAAATAGTTCACAGTTCGGTGGCTTGAAGCTCCTATTTTAGGAAATCCAGTAAAGCAGGCAGGTGGTTTTCAGTGTGACGAACTGGTTTGTATGTTGACGTTTCGCTTTGATCTTCATCGTTGGTACTGTAGAGTCTTGGAGGCCCCCATAAGGATACCAGGATACCCCATTCCCAGTCCCAGTTATCGGGTGCGCGAGAAATGAGCGAAATGTTGGGAGATGGCGGGAGATTCTCCAAGAGCTCTTGGGCCCTTTCAAGACACAGAAGAAGACAAGTCTTCAGCTTCGCGGGATTGAGTGGCACTCATGGATTCAGGGCCTTTGATATCCAATGCAGTCTTTTGTGTTGTTCCTTTGGTAGCGGGAGCATGATTTCCCACACAATCTCAGCAGCAACATACATCCCCCACGTTCGTAGTGCGCCGCTTTCTTCAGCGCTCTCCAAGGTTGAGGCAGGCAAAGCCCAGCGGGAATGGGAGTCCGCGGCTTAGCATGCTTAGCAAATTTTGCTAGCGACAGTGGTGCTTGGGCCTGCCAAAGCATCCAGGGATGGCTTCACTGTCCTCGGCTCTTGTTGCACGTTTGCACCACTTTGAGCCCTGCATCAGGCTGTTACGGATAATTACTAGCTACACATCACCCGTCCCCTTGGACATTTGCTGCAATTGTCGAGACTTGTGTTGTTTTTGATGCATTGCCTAATTAAGGTAAAGCCTTGGTTCATTCGGTTGTTCCTCATTTTTTCGGTTCGGACTTCAAATCTTTGGAGGCGTTGCGAATCGAGGCGCAAGGCCTTGTGCGTGCTGCTCGCCTGGGCATACCCGG